ATGTGACGAAAAATATAATGTTGGCTTAAGAAAAAAATGCAGTGAAGAATGTAGTTGGAATTAAACAAAAGAAATTCAAAAATTATAGGCTTGGCAAAAATAACGCTATTGAAGTAAAAAGTCTAAAATTATGCGTTTTTTTAATGATCAATATTTCGAAAATTAAAAAAATTAGAAATGATAAATAAAATGAAAAAATAATAGTAGTGGTAGATAATTATTGATGATACGTTGGCAAATGATTGAAATTTGCATAGATGTGAAACTCAAATGTGGGAAGATTAATAATCATCTGTGCGCCTTCATTAGAATAAAAGATTCGCACATAACTACGATCTTGTTGAGTGCATAAACTTATCAATAACAAAGCTGCGTAATAGCATTACAGCATGATTTGAATTTAAAATAACGATGGAATTGCTTATATAAAATTATAGGCCAAAATTAGAATACAAAATTAGGTATGTGCGGAAATTCAATTTTCGAGAATGGATAAAATATCCACTCATCCAATAGCAAACAGCCAACAATGAATAATAGCCAATTACTTAAATACAAAGAAGACACTGTAGTAAATGTAGAGAATAGAAAAGTAAAAAAAGGTTTGAATGTGTGATTGAACTGCTAGACTGGTAGATAGTGAGTCTAAAGTATTCGTTTTGGATGGGTAATATATATACGATACCTAGATAATTACTTTGTACTTTATTCGCACGTTAAAGAAATTTTAAATGAATTCATCTAGCTTATTTAAAAATTTAATCCAAATTTGAGGTGGAAGATAAGAGACAACCTTTCGTGTAGACACTTAAGTGATTCGCTCCAACAGGACACTCAGGAGAAAACTATTCGGAAGGAAATAACATGCGGTAATAATCCTCAATTTTTAATCCATTCGTAAATATACACTTAAAATCGAAAAATTGGGTTTGATCAAAGCAGTACCACAACATTTGTGGGTTTGCACACAAAATAATAGGCAATAGGAGGTCATAGACTTGGTATTACGTATATAAACAGGTTAGACGCAGTGGAGACAGGAGCTAGTTAGCTACCATAGGCCTTTTTTTACGATAGACCTGGTCCATGTAGCAAAGGCTTGGCCATTAAAATAACTCAGAGGCTTTATTTGAATATATGAAGACCAAGATGTTTTGGCCTCTGGGTGTGTTCGCAGTCTCCTTTCGATTGATAGAAGTGGGTTGACCTCGTTGTCGCAACTTGGTCGTGTTTTCAGGGAAACCATGTAGAACGCACCTTGTTTGAAGTCGTCTGCCATAGTAGTTGTCTTGATTCCCAGCATCTGACAGTAGACTTGAAACATTCTCAAACGGTTCGCCGGCATCGTAGTCGGCATCAGGAGTGAGCTTTGCCATTCCCTGCATTAAGCTACAAACTAATCAGAGACAAGTGAAGTCAATCCCTCAAAAACCGTTCTGCCAGAAACGGTTACACTCACTCCTCATTCTGTCATTGTCTATCTATCTACTCTTGACATAAAGAGGAGTAATAGCATAACCGTTTTCGGCAGAACGGTTTGTCGAGAGATTGACATCACTTGTCTCTTTGATTAGTTTATAGCTTAATGCAGGGAATAGTAAAGCTCACTCCTG